TTCACACTGTCATACCATGATCGGATATGGGTCGCATAGGGTCAAAAAAGTCGGATTTGATGCGCTTTCGCCTGCAGTGTGAACGTTGATTCCACTAGATGGCGATGTTTATAATCGTCAATCTTTGCTCAGAAAACTAATCGTTCACACATATGGTAAATATACCATAAAAAGGTACATATACCATATTAAACTGTTTTATGACTTGTAGAAAAGAACTATTTTCTTTATAACAATTTTATTTTCTTTGAAAGGTCTGCAGAAAACTCTTGAGTAATTTCCAGCTACGTTGCTATGTTTATTGTCACGTTCAGAGGTGGGAAGAAAGAAAATACAAAGGCTAAGTTACTGTACTTAAGTAGAATTTTCAGGGTTTTGTACTTCCCTTGAGTAGTTGTCTTTCTGACAACATTTTACTTTTATTCCCTCCATTTTTAAACAAATATCCCTATTTTCTACTACTTAGCCTACACGGCAGAGAGTTATTATTTTGACCTTCAAACATTCATACTCGTGTATTAATCACCAGGTAAAAAGAGAAGAAAGAGGCAAAACCTTAAACCTTAAGTCAGGGGATGAAGTTGCATTACTTATTGCTTGCACTACTAAAGAGTAGCGAGGAGCATGAAGGGAGTAATATTGTGGCAGGTAATTTCAAATGCAGCATTTCTGTCAGCTTAACAAACATCAGCAAACTCACAAACTGTTTGTGTGCTGCTGTATTTCACGGGGAGAGAAAAGTAAGAGAGCAAACTTCACTCAGAGATGGAGAAACATAAGAACAGGAGAGGTTATATGTAAAGGCAAGGACTGCTTTGTGGGATATTTATGAACTGGAAATGTAAGTTCTTATGTTTCTACATCAGATATCGGGCACTGTACATTTGACATTGTGTTTTTTCATATTGTGAAACCTGCTGGAAAAGAAGCTGAGGTAGAATAACTTATCTAATGGTTGTATGAAAATAAGCTGCAGGTTAATGTTGTATAAACAGGCTAGTTTGCTGTGCTGTGATGGATCCTCCCAGTTCTCCCACCTGTCAAATTCCATTTTAACCTCTTCCTATTTTCCTGTTTTGAGGCAAAGTCGCTCTCTACAATGTAGGCAACAGAACATGGATATATTTTTCATGTTCCTCTTTTTCTCTGCTCTTGTTTTACTTAACTGATTAAAGCTGAGTAACCTTATTAGAATTACAATTTGGACTGGAATAAAGTTTGTATTTGTATGTACTAATATTATTTTATTATCACAATAATATAACAAGGTTAAGTTGTATTTACTTTAACTAAAGTAAATACAACTTCAATGTAAAGACTTTTAATAAGTACTTCTACTTAAGTAGAGAATATCTGTGCTTTTGCCACCTCTGGTCACGTTCTTTATTTCCTTTTTATCCCTATAAAAGGCTGATGGAGTACTGTCCTCATTCCACTGGGCAGGCGGGCGTGCTGGACACCAAAGTTTGTGAATGTTAAGGCGACATAGGACTTTCAAATTGATAACATAGCATCATCTACTAAAAACTCAGATGAGTTCGAATCTCAGCGACCTCAAAGTCAAGGTCAGAGGTCAAGTTTTCTAAAAGTTTCTGTAATACCACAACTCAAGAAGGAAGTCACCTAGGATTTTAAAACTGAGGAGGCTGAGGGGCAGCAGTGAAGGCTGCCAGTATTTTCTTTTCCCTTTAGTTTTATTTAATGTTTATTCTGCTTATCCCAAATTTATTATTTGCCAAGTCAAATTTTCTGCTCAAAGTAAATAATATTATTACTAATAATAATATATTTTTAAAGTAAATGGGCTGATATTTAGAGGGGCAAACACTCATTATTGTCAGGATTAGAATAGTAATGTTACATAAAAATATATAAAGAGAACATTTGTAACTAATAAACAGAAGGTCCTTTTTCAAGTTTTTTTTTTCAATGCAAAACTATTGAAAGAAAACAATAAAACTATATTTAAATAGCATTATGATCGACAATGAGATTGTCCATTCACTGAGCACTTCGCTGTGTGCGTCAGCTTACAAACTACGTCATTCATTTGAACGTCCAATCATCTGTCTGCGTTGCTCCTCTTTGCGGCAGCACGGTTCTACTTACCCCATGAGTTGAGTTGGCCCGGTCGGTCTGATCGTGACGTGTGATACCTCAAATTGTATAGGTTACTAAATATGAAGTTATACGGATTTGTTGCAGATAACATGCAGTGATACGAGGGAGAGAAATTAGCGCGCAAATTGAGTCGTGTCGGTGTTTCGGAAGAAGTAATAATGCCTCGCGCGGCTGGCAGAAGAGATGGTGGGGCTAGCAGAAATGTGATGTGTGTCTTGTTTCCGCTCACCGCCGTGTTTTTGTTTTTGTCGGTCGGTGTTACTGCTATTCAAGAGGAGCAAAAAGCTGTCCCGGAACAGCCCCCACAAGAGGTGAAAGGTTTTGCTTCATTGTCACTAATTAAGTGTTTTATCGTCATGTGTAGGAAGCAGTCTTTGACGCGCTTCTTCCTCGCGCCCCGGGCTAGCCGATCTCGTGCTAACTGATACGTCTCGCAGAGTTCCGGGTGTAACGTTAGCAGAAGTGGACAAAGTTACACTTGAATTTTTTAATCGTGAAGAAATTGCTTTAAAGTTAAGGTGACAGTCATTTGGGTGTCACGACGAGAAGGTCGTCATGTCCCCGCCAGTTTTGTTTACCTATTTAAACATTGTGGCCGAAGTGTTACAGCAAAAATGCATGGAGAGGATAAAAGAATTCACAAAGCAGAAACTCCAGCAACACTTGAGGGAAGATGAACAAGTTTAATAATAGACCAACGCGTTTCGGCTTGTTACAGCCAACAAGGGCAAACGTGAATACCTCATACTGATTTGTATTACAAACTGTGTGTAACTCAGCTGACAGTCACTGTGTGCATTTCCTTTGCAGAAAGTCTCTAGTGCCCAGCCACTGGGCCCAGTGGTTTCTGAAGATGTCTCCACCAAAGGGAACCTGGGCTTCATTCATGCCTTTGCTGCCTCTTTATCTGTCATCATTGTCTCTGAGTTGGGAGACAAGACCTTTTTCATCGCTGCTATCATGGCCATGCGCTACAACCGCCTCACCGTGCTGGCCGGGGCTATGCTGGCCTTAGGATTCATGACTTGTCTTTCTGGTTTGTAAAACTTTGGATTTGGCCTTGACTGTTTTTTTGGCATTACCCTTCGATCAGATCCTGAGAAATAACAAATATGTGTTGTTGTTGTTGTTTTTTCTTTCCCACATCATAGTACTGTTTGGTTACGCCACTACCATCATCCCAAGAATCTACACATACTATGTATCCACTGCTCTGTTTGCCATCTTCGGTATTCGCATGCTTAGAGAGGGGCTAAAAATGAGTCCAGATGAAGGTCAGGAGGAGCTGGAGGAGGTGCAGGCGGAGATCAAGAAGAAGGACGAAGAGGCAAGTTAATTTGATTCTAAACTATCTAGAAAAACACCATCATTTTTTAATATCCAGTAGTACAACTCCAGTCCACATACATAATTTACATATTCAGCCATAGAAACCCCTCCTGAGTGGGTCCAGTTACTAACTGCTGACACCATTTTGCTTAGTAATTAGTGATTCGCAAATGGCTCATATTACTTAATCACCCAGAAGACCTAGTTACATTTTGCTGCTGCTGATGTGAGTTTTTGTTGTGTGGAAATTCTGATCTTATCGTCAGGCTATATGAGCATATGGACACTTTAAAGATGCCTGAGGCTGTCTTATTGAATGGCACCATTATGAACTGTAATCGAAGTGCTGTACTGTAGACTAAATCTAAAAAACAAAAAAACAGATGGCTGATTGAACCTCTTAGCAATAGTGACAGTTTGTCATACAAAGTCAAGCTTAATTATATTCCCGTGCAGATCTGCACGGGATGCATTCTAAGGTGTACTTGTAGAGGACATAAATCTACATCCTCTTGATTAAAACAAATCCGTTATAAGGAATATAGTTGGACCATCCACGGAGGACCTCATGACAAAAGGTATAGCACCCTTGTAAGTGAACCCTGCCTCTTGCAGGTACTGAGCTGTGAAAGTACTCTATTGGGTTGTCTTTCAAACCTCTTGCCTTGTTGTCTGTGCAGCTCCAGCGGACTAAGCTCGCTAATGGTACTGCAGATGTGGAGGCTGGAACAGGGACTGCTGTTCCTCAGGGAAAGTGGCACAGCTTCATCTCACCCATCTTCATCCAATCCCTCACTCTCACTTTCCTCGCAGAGTGGGGGGACCGATCGCAGCTAACTACAATTATTCTAGCTGCCCGGGAGGTTTGTGACTTTCACTGTTAGACAGCTGCTGTTTAATGCTTTGTAATATATTTTACAATAAATAGAGGCCATACATTTTCACTTTGATTGGCTGTTTGTTTCTTTTAGTCGCTGCTGTATTAATACACTGGTAATATTTAAGAAAAGAGCAAAAAAAAAAAGATATATAAACTGTTTTTGTTTTTTATTCTTAGGATCCATTTGGAGTTGCAGTGGGCGGCACCATTGGACACTGTCTGTGCACAGGTCTGGCTGTGATAGGAGGGAGAATGATTGCCCAGAAGATATCGGTTAGAACAGGTAAGATGGCCTAAATTGTGTAAATTTTTTTTTTTTTTATTATTATTTTTTTTAAATTAAAAAAAAGACAGGTAGGAGAAGTGGGTTCCTATTCTCCTGGGAGAATTCCTCTGGAGGCAGCTCTGTTTACACACAATAATTATCAAAATATTTGTAGACAATCCTGTTAAGGTTTGATCGATTAGGTGGATCAGATTTAAAAACAAACCGAGAGAGAAAACAGCGATCTACTATTAAACTAATTATTATTTTGCCCAAAAATGGTGCACACACAATTTACAGCCCACGTTTTACAATGATTGAAATGCATTTTTATTTTTAAAAAATCAAGTAGGTATTTGTAGAGTGCAGTCTAAAAATAAAAAGTAAAGTAAAAACTTTCAAAGTAGAGCTGTAATGACTCATTGAATAATTCAAATAACCAGACGATTTAAAGAAAATCTTCGACACAAATTTTCTCCTTTGTTTAACACACGGCTGTGTGGCGCTCAGTCATCTCCATGTAAACATGAGCGTTTCACCACTAACACTTTCATTAGATGTGATGATGATGATGTTTAACATGGAGTCTGTCTACACGCACGGTGAAGAGCAAAGAGGGGGAGCTGTTACTGAGATGGTGACCTCAGTTAGAGTGAAAGAAAACGTTTTTCTAGTGTCCAAAACAGCAGCGCTGTTCTTGTGGTCACCATTAAAACCTTTACTGGGAAAAAGCTAATGGGAGTCTTCATCAAACCATCCAATCAACGAACTCCAACCTTTTGTTTTATACAGTGAAAATCTATAGTAAAGCTACAGAAGTTGCATTAAAATATCCAAAGGAGCTGTTAACTTGGCCTGATACCATGTTTAAAATTAGGCAGCCGGCTGAAGCCTGACGAACGGCGTCCCATTTTGTATCATAATGATACCTGAAACAAGCAGGAGGGAGTCTAAAGGAGGGCATGGGCTGTTGAGACCATATTTCAAGGCTTTCACAAATTTGTCTTTCAGATTTAAAGTGAAATTAAATATGAATAAAACTGTTAATATTTAAAAAAATATATATAAAGTTTGCTGACCTGTGGCTGTTAAGTCAGACACTTACTTATTATTAACATGTCATTATTAACATCTGCACCATCATAACGTCTTGTTTTCAGCAGCACGAAAATTTTGCATAATAGCACAGGACAAACTTCAGCCAACGCATGGTCCTTTAAAGGCTTACAGATACAACCCCATTCATTCACTAACACACTCAAACAGGCAGACACACACAGATGCAGACAAACACATACACATGAAACCTACCTCATCCAGAAGATAAAATATTACTAATTAAAGGGTTTAGGTGTTTTTTGACAGATGCAGTTATATAAAATGGAAACCCACGAGCAGTATATTTTGAAAGAACTGTGGTGGGGGGTTTCCCCCTCTTTTGAATATTTATTATTGCTCATTAATAAGTTCTTATCTGATTGCTCAGCTAATCGATGGACTAATCAATAGAATACTCAATTACTAAATGAATCCTTATTTGCAGACCTATTTCAAAGTCACTTTTAGTTTGGATTCTGCACCATTGACAACTCCTATTTCTAAGACTTCAGTCTGCTGCCTCCACCTAATATGATTCATTTAAAATTTTCTTAACATGGTCGGTGAAGATATTGGACCATTTGTCCTCCCCTAACTTCCTTCGCAGGAATGCTGAGACTCCTGGGAGTCCTTCCTAGTGATGCAATGCTGTAATCATTTGGTTTTACCATCATGAAAATTACTGGTGAATTCACATTTGCTGCAAAAACCTCAAGATGACCCGTGATGGGGCTTCACAGAAAGATTCAGTAGTTTGTTCATATAGCTATATCAGATTTAAAAGATCAAAAAAATAAAAAAAATAAAAAAATGAAACCAATTTGGTGTCAAATAAATCTGTGCCTTGTTTAATCTGAAAATCTTTGCTTAACTGACATTTGTTTTCTTGTTTTGTTTCTGTAGTTACAATCATTGGAGGAATTGTTTTTCTGGCATTTGCCTTGTCTGCCCTGTTCATCACACCAGAAACTGGACCTTAAATTGGAGAAAAGACTTTCAGGTTCACTCTGTAAATACTTGTAACATTTGATCAAGTTGCTGTAGATGCATTTTAGTTTTGACCCTCTAAGTCTAAAGGACTCAACAAAGAGTTGGAGTCCTGTCTTCCTTTCCTTGAACGTCTCTGTTCCTTTGTGATCTGTGAATCAGTTGGATTTCTCAGAGGTTAATTAACAACCTGTAGGTGGCATCCAAACCTCATGGGAAATGTGTTTGTTGACTGCTTACAAGGTGTGTTTCATCTTCATCTCGTCTAGTGAAGGAAAGACTGAATCACAGAGGCTTGATTAACAGGTGTGAGCTTAGAAAGGAGGGAGGACTTTGTCACACTCTTTAAAACTTGTATTCTTTTCACACGGTGTGTGAGAGAAAACGAGATTGTTGCCGATTGCTGCCCTATTACGTTCTACCGGTGGCTCAGAAACTGAAGCCAACTTTCCTCATAGTAACATCTCAGCAAAGGAACTTAGTCCATTTAAAAAATCTTTTCCGTTTTTAATGTCTATTTTAAATGTTAAGAATGAGCCCCTTTGCTGTCAGGTGACTTTTGGCAGAATATGAGCCGCCAGTTTCCTCCCAAGTACAGCAGTTGAGGCTGGTGTTACTGTCGTTTCCACCATCTGTTATTAGCTTCTTCTTTTTTTTAAACACACACCTTACAGAGGTGCATGTGAGAGTGCATTCAGATTCTCTGTCAGATTGGACCAGTGTGCAAATGACACAGCTAACATCACACACTCCAGATAGTTCCCCTGCGGTTACCACACAGATTATTTCCAACGGTGTGAACATGTCTCGAGTACTATTTACTGCTGCTACATGTCAGATGTGGGACAGCTGTAGAGCATATCCCCGTCTGGTGTTCTGCAGATTGTCACATAGCTTGTTTACTTCAGAGGAAAAACACCAAAACCAGAACCAGCTGCACATTTATAGCAACAGTTTCTGTGATCTGACTTACACTGAGATTTTTTTTTTATTATTCTTTTGTAAACACTAGATTTTTTTCCCCTAGTTTCACATAAGAGCAGTCCTTTACAGAGACCTGAACCACTAGAATACCTCTACTTACCTGTATTTGAATGTCAGCATCCTGGGTTTATCTACAGTTCACGTGAACCTCTTCAGAAATGATAATCGTATTTACTCATAATAGTATCAGACTGTAACAGTGAACAAGACGTGGGATTAGGTTGAAGAAAGGGCCAGGAGTCACCCTGACAGGTTCAGTCTTCCTCTGCGATTAAAGCCATTTCCAGCATGAACCTCAGAGTTACTGTGACAGATTGTAAAGAGGACTACATCAGGTACAAAAATTATTTATCCTACACAAGACTTGCAGTAGAAGCCACTTCTCTTAGCTGTGTTGGATCTGCGGTGACAGCTCGACCGAACTTAATTTAGACCTAAATTTCACCCTTCATTTTAAACGGTACGTATTTATTTAGCTTCCTTTTCTTTTTCCTTTCTAGGCATATGTATTGACAAAGGGTGGATGATATTACTGTACAAGCAATGGAAATATTTTTTTAAGTGAACAGGCTAAAGCTGTGTTGTCAATATTTGACAGGCTGTGAACTACTTCTGTTTGTCATACAGGTTCTTTGAAATGCCTATAAATCTTAAAAAAAAAAAAAAAAGATCAATAAAAAAGTTTCATGTGTTGTCTGATTTCTAAACCAACATTTAGTGCCGTGTTTGAGTTGAGTGGTGAGGAGGAATACAGAGAGTCAATTATAGGAACAGCACCAAAGATGATTCACACAGATTTATTTTTGAATCCAAGGGGAGCAAACGATTGACATATTTGCCTCATAAGGGTTATGTTGAGGTCCATGAATAATTTGGCTCAAGAAATTAATGCAAGTCATCTTAAAGGATACCTATTACACTTTTTATCATGTTACTGTCATCTATGTACTGATACAGTGACTAAAGCTCATTTTAGAGTATTTTTTCCACTTTGCTCTGTATATGGAAGTTTATTTCAGACACTGAAAAATGACATCCAGAAGTCAAACTTTGGGAGTTGGTTTTGTTGATTGATTTAATATGCCATCAACCTGGCAGGGCGACAGATGAAAATTAGTCCATCTGGCTATTTACAAGATTAATTTTAGTGTTCATGTTAATTAATATGCATTGTCCCTTTGAAATAAACATACATATACCAACTTAATGATTTATGGATGGCAAAAAAAATTTTTTTCAGTGGTTGAAACAAGTTTTCATGCCTTTATGTCATCAGTGAGAATAAGTATTAATCATTCTTAACACGTCACATCTCACGCTGTTCAAACTTTGTTTGCTAAGGGCAGAAAAGCAGAGGGATGAGCTCTACAATGAGTGGTTTCAGACAGTGGATGTACTGAGGGGTTGCACCAACATCCAGTATGAAATGTAAACAGATTATTTTGAACTTTGAGTCATGCAAAGCTATGGTAATGTTGTCAAAGAATTTACCAAAAAACAATGGTGGAGGAAATCAGCACAATAGGTCCTCTTTAAGTGTCTTTATAACACTGGAGTGCAATAAAATGCCTAATGTGTACAATTTCTAAATGTTGGATATAATCAGTGATTAAAGTTGAGCTGAGGTGTTTAACCTAATAACAAACAGCAGGTGTCAGTAGTGGATGCTTAGTGCAACATTTCCCAGTTGTGCTTCATAGAACAAACTGGAAGCCTTAGCATTCACTACAAACTCTTAAAGTTTTTTAGAAAGAAAACTGGAATAGGTTCTATTATGTGGTTATAAAGTTGTAATAGATGCATTTATTGATGATTAAGAGATTAACTGCTCTGAATTGAGTTGATTGTTTTAGAGTTAGATATTAGTTTTGCCAATTTGTAACTCAAATATTCTGCTTGAAGTAAATAATCCATGCATATATGTGTTTTTCAGCTTCACATAACAATGATTAAATATATTAATTCATATCTGCACATTTTTCTAGAACCACGTGATCAGACTTGCCTATAATGTAGTGAGAGAGGTTTATTAACAACTCAAAAAGACATGACTTAAAGCTCTTTACAAAGGGTGTATTTTTATCTCCAATGTAACCAAAGATTTCAATTCGTTACCAAAGTTAAATCAGAAGTTGGATCTTCTGGTCAAACCTGAACTACCGACGTCATTACAGGAGTTCAAAAGTCCTGCTCCCGTCATCAATCAGGGTGTGACCACATTGTGTGGGATGTAGTCATGAAATATTTAATGTTGTTTTTTGCTATTGAGCGCACTGCAGCAGTTAATTACTTGAGCCAAACCACCAAAAAAAGCCACAAAAATATGAACTGAAAGCAGAGAGAGAGAGAGAGAGAACACCGAGTTTCTAGTGTGTACATCAGAACTACACAACACTGAACATAATTCACTGTGTTCTTTGATTTAGGGTTTGCGTCCTGAGGTTTCCCTGGACAACATTTCCCCAACTTGTTTTTGAGACTTGCCAGTGACCCACAGATAACTTTAAAAGCCCAAGTTGCCCTTATACATATATATAAATTGGTCATTGTGGGTTTTATAAAAAAAAAAAAAAAAATCACTATTGCTTAATTGGCAGGGAAAGACTCAGTATAAACACTGAATAAAGACTGAAAAGAAATATACATAAAAGTATGTATATGTATAGATATATATATACACACACTTTTAATTCGATTTTGATTCCAAGTCTTAACCAGCACTTTCTGGGGTCTTTGTGTGTATGTCACAGTTAGTTTAAATCCTTCAAATGTTTATTAAACCTCTATTATTGTCTTTTTTGCACATTAAAAGTTAGATTATTTGATTTCTTATATATATGATAGTTCCATAAAGTTTATACCAGACATAGAAAAATAATTAAGTTCTCTTATTTACTGTATTTCCTATCTTACAATGTGCAAAGCCTCCCACAGGCATACGCCTCCTCATGAAAAAAGAAGTCCCCAAGTTAATGACACTGAATACATTCTTGTAGGCATGTGCTGCTTGCATGCAGCACAGGATGAGGTTCACTCTACAGAAATTCGTAACAGGAGATAGCAGTTGTCTTACTCAAACACTGATCTGTTGTAGTATGATCACTGATTTTAAAGGAGGAGGGAGAGAAATGCTATGTGGAAAATTAGGACTACGAGGTCCAATTATAATCCGATTTATGCAGCACAGAATCATCACAGTGGAGCAAGCAGGTATTGGAGATTCAATGAAAATGTAATTTGTGGGTTTTAAAAACAAGGAGGCAGTTTATACAAGCGTTTTCGTTTGTTTTTTCTTTTGCACTGACAGGAGGCTGGTGAGATAGCAAGCGAGAATGTCTAATAGTTTAATGTCCCGGATTTGGATTTTATTATTTATTTAGAGTTGTCCTGAAGAAACAGATTGAATAATTAACTCAGAATGGTTCTGTCATCATTTGTGGGATCTGGGATCATAATGCATTCTGTACGTTTGCTTTCACTCTATTCTGTACTTGATAGTAATTTAGGGAACTTACTAAATCAGATACAGATAAATCTTGTAAAATTATTGTTCCGTTATCATTTTAAGTTTTTTTTAAAAAAAAGGTGATTTGTGAGATAAGGAAGATACTTTGAAGCATTGTTTCTCCAAGTCAAGACAAATATACAAATCTATATTCTTCATCTGGTCCCATACAGTAGCTGCCTTATCTGCAGTATGAAGGTTAATGAAAATGGTAGTTACATGTGGCCAATGATAAACGATAAGTCACAGAAATAATTCAAAGTTTTGAATAATGAACTTTCAGACATTAACAGCGTAGTTAGACTGAAGAATTGTAAGTGCCCAGAGGTATTATCGTGGTAGAAACTGTAGCTGTTGCTTGTGACAGTTGATTTTCCTCCCAGCCTAATCCAACCTGAGCAGCGTCAACCTTTAAGAAAAGCTGCTGCTTGTGCCAAATCATGATAGGCTCCTCTATCCTCGAGCAATAAACGGCAAATAAGAGTAGAGGCGCTTTTTATTGACACTCGATGCTTGCTTGGGTTTTCTATGCTGTACTGCACAAACTGGGAACAGTGGAATAAAATGTTCACTTTTCAGTGCTTTGAAGCACTCTATACAACTGACTCCGTCTTCTGAAAATGGCTGGATTCAAGGTGACCTAGAACAAAACTGACTTTCTAAATAAAACATATGCTATCGGGTAGGGTTTCCCCTTTGTGAACGCTACACTCTAATACTGGGGAGATGGTATAAGAGTGCACGGTTTTACAAGATATCTTGGAGCAGATGTCAAAGACTGACTTTGTGGCCATGTGTTGAGCTCAGCCCATCATTTCACACAGATGAAGAGGAGGTTGGACTGTCAGCTTCGTACCATCTGGCAGTGCATTAGATCAGATGGTGAGGAGGCTGCAAAGCAAGCCTACTAAGCCAGAACGCGTAGGGCTGAGTCTGCTGGGGATCCTGGTGATGGTCTCCGTCTACAGTAACACTGATCCCCTCAATGCCATGTTTAGCTCGGTGATACAAATTATGGTGAGTGTACTAAAAGTCTGGCTTACCCCAACTTTCCATTGTGACTGTAGAACTCCAAGGTTCTTTTTAGCTTTTGGCAAATATTTAATGGGTAATTAAAACGTCTTCCCGGTACTGCTGGATTTGGCCTAATATTATATAAGTGTGTCCTGAAAATCTTTTTTTTTTTTTTTTAATTTAAGGCAGCTTTAATCAGTGTTATTACAATGACAGTTGCTCACATGACTGCTTATATTTAAGTGCTTACAGTTCTGAGCCTAAAGACCATTACTGGCTTTGCATTGTCCTCACTCTGAATGTTTTACGATGCATAACTGCAGTTTAGAAAAACAAATATTACCTGCAAAGCATCAACCAGCAGACGATGTTAGCATCCAGCTGCTGAATACCATCAAGTGTTAAGGAGCTGAAAAGCAACGGTTTGGTGGTACCAGTGCATGATCTAGAGCTGGGTTCACATGTTTTTCCACAGTTTAAAAAAAAGAAAGAAAAAGCCACCATGAAATGGAACCCAAAGTGACATAAGTGTCTACACCAAGACACTGTCAGATAAAGCCTCAATTTTCCTCCCACAGAAACAACACCTACTTCTACTGGGAACACTTCATGATATTAGATTCTCAAATCTGCCAAAATGTGTGCTGGTCCTCAAAAGGCACAATGGTAAAACTGGCTCAGCACCTCGTCTGCGGAAGAGAGGTTGCAAATGAAATCCCAAATGTAACTCATACGTTTGTTTTCTGAATGTAAAAAGCCATAATATATCCATGTCACTGCCATCAAGGGGCCAAATAAAGTTACTGCAGTTCTCACAAGACAATCAGACAAGACAGAAAGCAGAGCAACTGGCTTCTCCCGATAATCCACAGAGCTCAGAGAAGGCTATAATGGAATAGGATGGGATCTTTGTATCGGGTTGACAGGATGACTGGTGTCTCCCAGTAAGTCCTAGAGAGGGTGGATGCTTTTTGTTCTGCGTGCCCAGCTAAAACAGTTAGATGGCTTAAAACTAGATCATGTCTCTTACTAACATATTTAACAGGTCAGTATTTTGTATTTACATACATCTAAAAGTATAAATGTTTACAGGTGAAATAAAGCATCCTTGGGTGCCAACACAGGCGATATGGATGGCTGTGAAATGGAGGGATCTCAAGTTCTAAAAATTAAGAAATGATGATATGAAGGATAATGTTAGTAGATCTTACTGTTGCATACGTTTAGCTTAATGTTGCCTCCATTCTATACACAAATCTCACACATTGATTTCAAGTCTTAAGTGCTTGAGCACATCTTTAAAAAAACTAAAGTATTTTTCTATCATTCTGTCGATAATTTTGTGAAGTTGTGTGAAAATAGGGGTTGAGGATTAAACAAACTGTGACACAACAAACAGCATCGGCACTGTCTGATGCAGACACACAAACAAACATCCCCTAGGAGAAAGGAAGTCTGTGAAAATATCAGCCACTAAGCATTTTCAGGTCTTTTTTTCTGAGTATTAGAAAAAAAGCATATTCAAAGCTGCAAATAACAGACTATGCATTTCATTTCATGCATCATATAAAATATTAGTTATTCTTCAGTATATTTACAGTATATATTACACATGATATTCTGTACAGTCAAAGTTCAATCTACACCACATTCTTAAAAATATTTTCTGACCCATAATTAGTTTTACAAGAAAAACATACAAAACAAACAATTGGTTGTTTTGTAGGACGTCCTCGAAGTAAAGATCTCCACCGCACTAACGGGAGAACTGTGAAATAATCCTGTGAGGGTGACTAGAGCACACATGCGCGCCTGCACACACACACACCCAAACACAGACACACACGACACAAGGGGAGGCGTAAGGGGGAGTCTTTTGCAGGCCTTGTATGGCCCTGTTTTCTTGGAGGGAAGGCTTTATTCCACAGCCAAACCTGCTGCCACAGCAAGCCCCATCCCGGGTTCTCTGTTGTACTCTGGGCTCAGGAGTGAAGTGCAAACAGCACAAGATTCGCGTGAGAGAAGCAGAGCAACACAGTGTCCACTTCTCATCCTCTGAGGTTTCAGTGGTGCACTTTCAGCAGAACTGCACTTTACACTCCCATCAACCACACCTGAGTTTGGCTAACTGCACTTCTGATAGGCTTTGGCTAGTTACTGCGGCTGTGTCGCTGAGCGGTCAGACAAACTATCTGCTCTGTGAGGAGCCAGCTGCTGTTGCTGCTTTTGTTGTAACTGCTTCTGCTGTGTTTGATGCTGTTGCTGCTGCTGTTGGGCTGCTGCCGTGAAGGTACCCTGCTGCTGCAAAGGGAACGCTGCCTGCAGGATCAGCTGGGTGGACTGGTTTCCGTGAAGGAGTCGAGGAGCCTTAAGTGAAAAAGTTACATTAGCTTAGTCGGCACAGCCTAACGAGCCAAGATGTAACTTAAAGCTGCGGTAACTAGGACTCTGCTGATTCACTGTAAAGCAAGAAAGGCAGGCAAATCAGTGTCTGTGTATTGGCTGAACAACACACAGACACTGAGACATGAGTGCGCATGCTGCATTCTTCATGCTCTATTCAGGGTGGTCCCTTGGCTAAACCAGAGGATTTCCAACTATTTAAAAGTATCTGAAGCAGACCATTACTTAGAGATTACAGATTATTGAAATGTAGCCTTATGATTGTAGTGCGACCAAAAAAAACATTTGTTAGACAGGCTTTTGGAAGCCATCAGTCAAAGCAGATCAGTTCCTCCTTGTATACTAATTATATATAAAAAAAATAGTAACTTGTGGCATTAAATTAAACTTTAATTTCTAAATCTAATTTGTCATCCACCCTCCTCTTGTTGTGGTTAGAGTCCGATTGAACAGTGAGTAGTGATATGGAAATGAAACATCGTTGTTGTCAACAGGAATTCATCTAAACTAAGCTGCATCTTTCAACATTGTATTTTAATCAAAATCACATTTTGAAAATGTCCTCGTCTGTCAACAGATCTGAAAAAAATATTCACATTCAACTCCATCTCCTGTGTCAAGTTCTTTGAGCATACAAAGAATTTTCAATTTATATAAAATAAAATTCATTAGGACATTTTAAATCACCTAAACAGCATGCTGCCTGTATGTGAGCCAACTTCATACAGTAAAACTTCACCTGATAAGTGGTTACTGTGTCAGTGTTACCTGTAGGAACTGTGTTTGCTGCTGGGTTAGTGGAGCTTGCCCTTGCTGCATGGCTGTGACCTGAGACTGCGGTTGAATCTGTTGCTCCTGTTGCTGTTGCTGCTGCGGAGCCTGTTGGGAAATGCTAATTGTCTGCGTCTGGCCCTGCTGCGGTGCAAAGGCCGTCACCACTTGACCCATAAACATGGTTGTGGGGACCATGACTGCCCCACATGTCATCTGCCCTGTCACTAGCTTGGTGAGCAGCTGGGGGCCTGCAGGAAACCTGTAAGGTTCAGGAAGTTAGTCAGGTCTGATAAGTCTAATTAACCCAAACTGACATAAGGTCAATATATATGACCTTTTTTCACTATAAAAGTGCACTGTACCTAAATTAGTACTACATTAAATTGAAGTATTATGCACCACAGAGGGTGCCATCAATGAACTCGAGCACTACTTAATAACATTTTAATAGATTTAGGTGAAGATTCACACCTAATCTGAGCCGAACGGTCCTGTGCAAATGTTGCCACAGCAGGAGTGTTGGGTCCAGTATTCTGCGCCAGGCTTGTGGCAATCTGAACCACGTTAGCAGGACTTTGCTGAGGGATCATCATCGTGTTGTAGAGAGATGCAGGCAGTGGATTCTGTTGAGGCTGCAGCGTGTGCGACGACCTCTGAGGCTGAAATAAACAGAACCGGAGTCTATGACATGAGCATGCTGGATGGAAAAATCTATAACAAACACAGCTAAGCTATGAATTCAGCGTGTCAGTGAGAGGCAAAATGAGAACCGTTTAGCCTGTCTGACCTGCGAGAGTGCTGTGTTCTGTTCCCGTAGGAGTGTTTGCTGCTGGGATGGGGGCTGCACAGCATGTTGTTGCTGTATGCTGTTTTGCAGAGATCCTGCAGAAACCACCTGGCCCTGCATGCTGAGTGTACCCCCCTGCTGCCCACCATTCCCCTGGGCCATCTGTACAGAGCTCACATTTAGTCCTCCAGCCCCTTTCTGCAGGAACATCTGAGATACACATCACACATTCGAACTCCAGCTCTAATTATAACAGCAACACATCCACCGTGTAAGATGAAAATAAAACAATTAAAAAGAAAACCTTTCATATATTTACTAGGCTATGTAATCATTCATTTGCAACACTTGTGCGCAGCTCTTCAGTCCTACCTGCAGACTCTGTCCCTGCACCCTCTGTAGCTCGTCCTGGATCTGCCGCAGCTCATCCTGCTGCCGCTGAATGTTGGCCTCAATCATTCTGGTCCTCTGCTCCAGCTGCTCTTTCAGGTGCTGCATGGCTTCTAACTGGCTGGAGAACTGGACCATTGACTGTTAAAGAATAAAGACATAGCAGTATGGCAGTTTATTTTAAATGTTCAATACGTATATTTTACAAATTGTTAAGGCTCAGGTCACATTCTCTGAGTACAAACAACTTCTTGCATACTGAGCACAGAACACATTTTAACCAACAGTGACCACTGGCTTAAAAATGTAACCATTTCAAACTGCAGCTCCAAGAATATCTGCTTAACACTGGCAATAAAAGCAAGTGAATTCCTGAACACCCATAAAATTCTCAGCTTTAAAGCAAAAATAAACATATTTACACCCTGCAAACTTTCCTTTGTTCTCTACAGCCAACTGACGGTTCACGACAACTGTGTGCAGGGGCTATATTTTTATTTAACTCACCTACATTTTTTAAAGAGTTACACATTTAAGCCATGTGGCTGCTTTGAGCAGCACAGGGTTGTCCAGCCAAAAGACAGTTAAAGAAGTTGACTGCTTAATTTTCTCAGTAAGTCAGACTACAGGCTACAGTAGTCCAAAAACCAATAGGTGGCATCATAGGGACTATGTCTACGTTTTATATATAAATATAGGCATTCCTGGGTTAACAGCCCCATCGTGTCAGTGTGTGGGAGCTATACAGATCCTTGCAGATCCTTGTTCATTGGCTGTCCCATGTCATAAGGCAGTGTCAAACAGACACATAGGCTACTCTTGTTCATAATTGTGCTGTTGGACCTTCAGTTTATCAAGTGCCACACAGAAGACATAAGACATGATGGATAAAGAAGTTCTTTATAGTGAAACTGAGCATTAAAAAAAACAAACAAACAAACAAACAAACAAACAAAAAACAACGCTGTCCACTGCAGTCATTGTCTGCTAGTTATACTTAAGAATCAGCAATATTAGACAATAAATAAAATATATCTTACTTGATTGTTGGTCGGAACTTGTTGCTGTTGCTGCTGTTGCTGCTGTTGTTGTTGCTGTTGCTGCTGTTGTGGCTGCTGCGGCTGTTGTTGTGAAACCATGGATGACGCCACGTTCTGTCCTGTATTTTGGGAACTCATCGACTGCTGATGGAAATAAAGACACCAAACGAAAGTCCTAAGTCCTAATGAAATCCCTCATGACCCAGAATACAGGTATCGTGAAATTTAAGACCAGAGCGTGTGCGCTTGTCCATCCTCTGACCTGACTGCTGATAGATGATCTCCGTTGTGATGTCATCTCCACAGCAGAGACCGACTGGCGACCTGGTGTACTCCTATCTCCCTGAAGCTTCATTTGTGATGCTGAAGGGCAAATACAAACATGATGCTCAGATAATAATAAAAAAAAGAAATAGTTAATATACATCAAGCTTTGCTCAGTAGTGAACAGATGCTTGTACTTACAGGCTGGGTCAGACACAGCCGTGTGGGAAGATTTACGTGAGCTGCGAGACGAGGCCGATGGGGTCCGACTGTGGTCAAATCGCTCTAAGGCCTCTTTCAAGCTGAAAGTGTTGAGCTGGGACTCGGAGCCTGAATCCTGGGATTGCTGTAAACAATGCATTGTCACAAGGTCACTATGCTGTCCACTCTTTAATTTTTACAAATCATACCTCACGTTGGTCTGACCTTCTCAGCGGTGATTTGAGGTGGTGATTCTTCAATTCCCAGCTCTCTGCGCTGTTCTGCTCTTACTTCAGCATAACTGCAGAGCAAAGACAATTAATGACACACACAGTTAGGGATGGACACAACTTTCATAATTATGGCTCTGGAAATCACCAGAATACACCTGAATTTAAACAATTAAATTCAAGTTCAGACTTTCTGATTTCAAAGTTTGAACAGAAGTATATGGAAAATTAACAAATCATGACTTTTTTTAATATAAAGTTTAATACAATTGTAATACTACTACTAATAATAATAATATATATATATATTTCTGCATTTGGCTGACTCTTATACATTTCAATATGTAAAAATATTTCCAGTAGCTTTTGTCTACTCCATAGTAATAAAAACACCACATCACTGAAAGCAAAGCATGTCATTATACTACCTCTAGGGTTTTACAGAGGACTGTATGTTTTAGCTCATGAGCAATGTCATATCAAAGGGTCAAGAGGGAAATCTTCATGCACCTTACGACCGTGTGTGTGCAGACAATAAACTCTGGCCTGGAGTTCCACTGGTGATAAGTAATGTAGTAATGGGTCTGAAGCCAAATCCATTGTTGCCCTTTGGTGAGGAATCTGTAGTAGCAGGACTTTCCTTTCCCATATTGCATTACTACACAGAAGCAAAGAGAAGATTTCAATGCTCTGCTTTGGAAGCTCGAGAGGAAGTTGATAACTGGAGATGACCATGCTTCAGTGATCGCTGTCAGAAGTGTACTCACAGTGTTCGTGACACTTGGCTAGTGTCTCAAGGTCATCTACATGATAGTAGTCATATCCTGATGTACCCAGGACCTCAAATGGGAGGTAACCTATGATGGGCGGAGCTCTGGACAAACACAGTAAACGTTATTGAAATTATTAACTGGAAGTCAATCAGGAAATGTCTTGTTCTTACGTTAAGTCATACATCCAGCAATATTTATCCCTAAATGACAACATGAAGCAATAAGGGAGTATGTATGCATGTAGCTTCACCTGATGCTTTCACAGCATAAGGAAAATAAGTGTCTTTCTAAATGGTTCAGGGTAGCATGCCTAAACATTTTCAGTAATGAGAATTGACATCTTACTGACATAATAATTTGATAATTTGCTACTCCCAGCTCTCACCACTCACCAGGATGAAATGTCTGTATTCAGGTGTACAGTTTACCTTTCTACCAGCCCAGAAGAGCATGTTGTTGTAATGTTTAATGAGACTGATAAAGCTGATAAAGCTTCTTTTTTTATCCCTTAATAAGATCATTGAGCTTTTGCAACTATGAGAGCCAACTACATCTGTGTCTAAATTAGCTACTGGTTACAGTTATACCTGTAGTTCATTTCATTTGGCCTGTCCCAAGGAAAACACATTGCGACACCGTTGTTCTGAGTTCATGTTCACACTTTTTTAAAAAAAACATTAAGTGGCGTAAGCATGAAGGAGGAGCTTCAGCCCTTAGGCTATCTGACGTCTGAACTACCTACTATTCTTATCTTACACACCTTAACCTTGGACTTCTATCATTCAACCTTAACTGAATGACATTTGCACGTCACACTGTTTATTGCATCATTATGCAGGCATTATTTCGACACTGATTATTATTTCGACACTGATTATTATTTCGACACTGATTATTATTTCGACACTGATTAGGATTTTTATTATTATTCTTCCATGCTGGAGACAGCTGTGGCCAGAAAGGATCTTTTGGGTTGTCTATCCCATTCACGTAATATATCAGGAATGCCTGGAGGGAATGTCGTCACATCTGGGATAAATATTCACTTTGAATTAGGGATGAACTCATTAAAATTTACTCATTTTTTTGGACAAAGGTCACTCTGATCTACTAAAACGAGATTTCAGCCAAAACTCAAGAATGTCTGCACTAATTATGAAAAACATCTTTGAAATAATAAAATTATTAAGTTACTCCATTTTATTTTTATAAAGGTAAAACATTAGCTACACTGAAACATAACCTAGGATATCAACTGAAACGTGCATGGTTTCAGAGGCATACAAAAGTGAATGCTTGCTTACTTTCAAATCCTCTTATCCCCCCCCCCAAACATCTAGTTGTGTAAGAAAATATATACATAAATATTCCAGATCCATGAACTTACAAACAATATGTTGTACAATATGTAGTTGTGTACATAGTCAACAAAAACAAATATCAATCCTGAAGTTAGAGTGACTGACAGGTTTTGGATAGTGTTAGTGATATAACTCCTGAGTCATCAGCACCATGTGGAAGCTCCGTGGGAAATAAAGCAAAAATGCTGGTGACCGATAGCGGGTCAGGTTGACCTCACTCTTCTTTTATAATAATAATTATGTTTCCTGACCACAAGCCTTCATAAAAGCAAGCCTGCTGTGTAATAAATAATGACAGAAGTGTTACGAAACAAGAGTTTTTTCGATTTGGTCTCTCACAAAAATCAACAATTCTGATTTAACAAAAAAGCCACGCAGTCACATACCGCAGCCATGGTTAAAAAAAAAAAGAAAAAAAAAGAGGTCATTCTTTATAAATATAGGTCAGCGACTTTCACACTAAATCAAGTAGGTTAGGTTTGACTAAACACTTAATACTGATCCATTTTAGCACAAACTGAAAATTAAGTTATGCATTTACACTGATAAATTGGAAAGGAATTACCTGTGGTCCAGGAAGAGAAATTTCCACTCTAAACTATGTCTGGATGTAAATTCCTCATTAGGCTCTTCTACTGTGCACATCTCCTATTGGTGCAAGGGGAGAAAACATAGAACTTAGAAGACATAAATATACATAAATATATACACATATAAAACTAAATTTTTTCACCACAGTTAGACTGAACCTACTCGAGTCCAACTCTAAACTACACACAGTATATTGTCTTAAAAATAGCCTTTTAAACTTGTGCAGTATGACAAATTACATGATCAATCATCCCTGTTTGTTCAGCAATACAAGTTCTGGTTTATTTTCAACTTGTTTTATCCATTTAGGTTCTGCCATCTCCAGTAAAACAGCCCAGGTTTTTATGACAGTGATATGTCAACATAACCCGTCCCCCATTTTTAAATGAGGTAAAAACGTTATTCCCAGCAGAGGCATGAGGGAACTACACATGATTAATGACAAGGGCCCAAATCATTTTTCCTCAGGTGACCATTACTGCTGAGCCCTGTCCTAATTAAAGCTACCTTAAGAGCCCTAAAGCAAGAAACTGAATGTGTGTCAACCAGATAAAAGGAGAAGCAGTTAAAGATTCTTACCTTGATAAACTGTGGCTTGGCTAGCCTCACAGTGGCTATGAGACACACTCTGTCTTCAAAGGCAGAGTGAAGTGATCGCTGGATCACTCCATCGAAACCATTTCGGGTACAGTTAGGCACTGGTAAAAAAGAATGGGAACAAAGCAAAGTTAATCCTTTCACACAACATCCCTGCTCTACATTCTGACTCTGTGTACTGTAACTTACCATTATTCAGGGACTTGAAGTTTCCAATAAACTTTACATATTCATACACGGGGGGCTCTTTGGGGTCGATTGTCCCTCGGAGCATGTGGCAACAGAACTCTAGCTGATTTTTTGCTATAACAATAATAATAATAATAGTAGCTTAAACATAAGAATTGAAGAACAAAAACAGCAGCTGAAGACAGATAACATATCCAACCTACTTTTAAGATACTCAGGTGTCAATGTTTCTCCTTCCATGACATGAGAGGACAGAGCCTTGTACACCTCTGAATGCTCCCCCACAGGCAAGAAATTTAACAGGTTCTGATCAACAAGATCAGACTGGGGGAAAACAAAACCAATGAATATGTTTATTACCAAATGTTTCATCAGTGAACTACTGACTTTATCTATTATTTAAAACTTATACTCACTGGTAAATGTTCTAGTAGGGAAGTCACACTCTCAGAGACATAGATTATATTCCCATCAGCCATAATTGCAAGGAAAAATCCATCTAACGCCTAATAGAAACAAAGGTTAGATAATATTTCATCTATATTTTTGCATAGAAACAAAAGGAAAATAAGTGCAAGAAACTGCCTTACCTCCAACATCAGCTGAGTGAACTCTTCATTACTAAGAAAAGGAGGTTTCCAGTCTTGTCTGATCTCAGTTGACTCTGACTGAGCTGCGATTTCTGATAAAGTAGACATAACGCATGTAACGTATAACTGTGAATTTAAAAAGGCACCCATTACGCTTTACCTTATGGACCATTAAAGTGGTCAGTATATGTAATCCCAGTAAGCCAAATGTTTCAGAATGCCCAAAGCAATCAGTTTCAACTCATTTTTGTTCTACTTCTGGCTGTGTATGGTGACCCTAATATGAGTCCACACAGAATTTGTTTGCAGGAGGCAGTCAAACAGAAGTTGGCTTGAAGAGAAAGAGCTAAAGAGCTTCATTTTAAACTAAGGATGAACTGAGGGATAAACCCACTACCATTATATTTAATTCTAGTGGTTATTGGAGTTTCTCACCTTTGTGTTTGTGCAGAAAGTCGATACTTTTCTGCAAAATAGTGGACTTGTCCATCTTCCGGGTGTTGCCCGGCAGCATTGTACCCAACTCCTTGATGAGGACATTGAACTGGTCTCTGCGCTTCTTCTCAGACTTGTTACGGGACACGCTGGTTATTTAGAAGAACAAATATTAGTAAAAGTTAGATGACATCTTAACTAGGAACACTTATCAAAATCTTGTTCACGGTAGCTGTAATAAATCAAAACGATGTCTAAAATCAAGTCTTGTAACAACTACAATAGCAGTTTTATGGAGGATGTAACTTCACTGAATGCATTTGATATGAAAACAAACCCGAGATCTTACCGTTTTGCTTTGTCCTTTTCATCTTCTTCCATTAACCCATCAAAAATACTACTATCATCCCTGCAGAATGGACAAACCAACAGTTATATCAGATTCTTTAATATTTACAGTGAGCTCTTTGATAAGAAAATCTCTCCTAGAAAACATGAAGACATCAAACTCAGGCACTGTAAATCCCTAAATTACTTTGATCTTAATCTTCAAAAAAAGGAAAAAAAGAAATCACTGTTAATTAGATGCATGAGAACTGTGGGCTGAATGTGTTTTTGATTTTCTTCATGTCCCACTATTTTTTTAAATCAACAATAAAAAAAACAAGCCAAACGTTTGACTCACTGGTCAATGCTCGAGGTCATTTTGTATCCTGTTCAGGGTCGCAGTGTCGGTGAGGGGTCTTTTAATCGTGAGGTAGACATTTGTGAATAAACCTTTGAAGAAAAAACACCCATAAAATGGCAGAGTGTCAAAGAATCAAAAAACTTCAGACACGAGCAAATCAGATGGTAAAGACATTTCACCTTACTGACAGTACAGCCAGTTCTGTGAGAGGATGAGGAAGGTGCTGCTGGGTGAAGGTAGAGTACAGGTGGACACTCTGTGATAGGGGTGTGCTTTTATGAGTCTTGGAGGATAGTCTCTCAAAGTCTCTCTTACCAGGCTGCAGAAAATAGCTAAAAGTTCCTCGGGGTGCTGTGTCTTTCGTCTGCTTAGGGTGTAAGTCTGGCACATGGCAGCAACATCTGAGTCTATGAGACAAAAAGACACAACAACCGAGGCCGTTACTGAAAGATTAGAGAACCATGACATATGAGATTGATTTATATTTAAAAAAAAGTCAAAATAAAATTTTAAAGAATTTATAAGAATTCTGCCTACATTTCTGCCTGAGGGTTGAAACTACTCCTTATTCTTTCATAAATATAAATACATTATAACAATGGTGGATGCTAATATGATCAACGATCATGCCCCATGTTTGTTTAGATATGCAGCTGTGTGGAGCTCTCTCTCCTCTCTGCAAGGCAGGTGGGTGAGTGTGTTTGCTGCTGAGACCAGGCGAGACTGCTGATTGGCTGGTTTGAAGAAACTGCTGTGTACAGACTGGACAGCCACCCCTTAACCTCCTTGCCTCCTCTCCACTCAATAAAGAGCTAGCAGTTAGGCAGCTAATAGCACTGTGTGTTTGCGTGAGAACACTGGTTCTAAGAGTTGACTCTTAACACTAGGTGTGGAAGTGACATATAGGTTAAGAGTTATTGGTTACAGTTTATTTTAATACTACTGTATTACTATTGGCTCTGTATGATGTCAGTGAGAGAGGATAAAGCTCAGTTTCAAATGGGAAGGGAGCTAAAACAGCTTATTTCAGAACCAGATGAACTAATGGGCATCACCAAGGTCCAGTATAAGATAAGGTTAAGTTTGAACTGTGAATCCTGCAAAACTGCTTTACCTTTAAATTAAGAATAGAACTGCGGACCTGCAATTGTTACTCACTCTTAATGTGGCAGCACAATATCAGCACTCACATCAGCACAGTGAATTTTGCTGTTGCTGTTGAATGTATGACTATAATCACCTGCATCCACAGCTTATATTAAGGTGGTTCTTTAATAGGGGTCACATCCTACATGTGCAACAGAGATGCCGAGGAAAGCCAAAGGCTGAAATGAGTCAGTTTCTTTCTGCTGCCATGTAATATTAAAACTATTACATATAGTAAACAATTGTGAGTGCTGATGTTCTCATCAATTTATTTTTTTGTGTTTTCAGTGGGTCAGCATCAATGAGACTGTTCTTTTTGTGTAGTATAATGTGGTAATACATCCCTTTACTTTCATTAAACCAAGTGGAGTTTCGTACTACATCAAATAGTCATTGCGTAGTTTCTTTGGCAATTCTTTGTGTGTTTTGCCAATGAAGCAGCAGCAGAATGTGTTGGGTTTGCAACAGCTGTAACCTCAAACAGCTCTGTCACAGAGAGTGAACAGTAAACAGTGAGGCTGTTATCAATTACATAAAATTACACTGGATTATATGCTCCATTGCTAACTGCAAATCCCCCAAGCAATCTAAAGTAAGTGTGGCGAAAGTGTACTCTAAATACTAACAAATTCAAAAAAGAAAAACAAACAAGTAAAATAAAAATAATATTAATAGATGTGCAGTTGCACAAAAGAAGAAAAAGAAAAGAAAATCCTGTGGATTACAATTTTTGAATTAATTACTTATAAATTGACGTGTGATCGTCATAGTCATAACTGTAATCAAACACATTATGGTTTAACTACAAACATACTTTTTTAGGCCATTGTAAAAATCTTGGCTAGAAGGGTTTGGTTCGAGTGCAACATCCCAAAAAAAAATGGAAATGGTGACAGAAGTAATTTTAAAAGCAATAAAAATAATAAAAGAGAATAAATAAATTAGGGTACTTACTACCAAATATTTGCCTGCTTGTGTGCTGCTGTGTCAGATATACCAGAATCTGTCTTGATTTAAATAAGCCACAAATGCAACCATTAATAACTGAAATACTCTTTCTACCACCCATCTCTACTATCTATTCTCTTTGCCCAGGTACACTAGATTTCGAATTAAAATGAGAAAGCCCGCTGGGTCTCTAGCCTAAATATTTGACCCATTTACTTCATGAACCAGTTACCGTCACAACCTATGTGGGAGGCTTTCTCAACATAACGGCCTATTTGTGTTGGTGAGAAAATCCCTTCAGTGTTTTTCCCCATGAATCTTGGTAGACATAATTTAAAGAGTTTAAATTGTTATTCTGTGCAACATTTGGTAAAGCCAAAAAGAAGAATTACACCTACACTCACCCATTGAGTGTAGGTGTATTATTAGAGTAAACAAAGCTCTTCAGTTAATTGAAATAAAAAAATTAAAACTACTGGAAATGAACTGGAAATAAAAAACCAATAAAAATAAAGCTGAGTCACCACAGAGGTAGTATTGCATATTTAACCTGAATCAAGCAATTAACCCACCCTTGAAATCAACTACAACTAAAGTGTATTGAAAATTAAAACTAAAAAAAATAAAATAATAATAATTAGGTAAAAAACATAACTCTGGATCTAATATGCATATTTATGGTACGTTTCAAACGTATTCATCAGCCACCTCACATAATTAAAATATAGTTATTTTTAATGTGATTTAAAATATTTCTGTCTTATTTACTTTTCATATTCCATTGAAATCTAGTCATCAACGTGTTGCAATTCAGAAAATGCATTGTAAAAAGAGTATCATGAGCTAGAGCTTCAATGTGCACATTTTTATTCAGTAATTTGTTCTTTCCATTCATTTAAAGTTTTTATCTTATTTAGCAGCACGGTGGTTAGCACTGTTGCCGCACAGCAAGAAGGTCCTGAGTTCAATTTTTGTGTGGAGTTAGCATGTTCTCCCCGTGTTTGCGTGGGTTCCCTCCCGGTACTCCGGCTTCCTCCCACCGTCCAAAGACATGCAGTTTGTGGGGATAGGTTAATTGGTTAGTCTAAATTGTCTCTAGGTGTGAATGCGGGAGTGAATGTCAGTGCAAATGGTTGTCTGTCTCTGTGTGTTAGCCCTGCGACAGACTGGCAACCTGTCCAGGGTGTACCCCGCCTCTCGCCCTATGACAGCTGGGATAGGCTCCAGCACCCCCCGTGACACTGAAAAGGAGAAGCGGATGGATCTTATTTATTCATATGTACAGGATTTTTGTTTTTTGTCAAAAAAAAAAAAAAGGGGGGGGGGGGGGGGGGGGGGACTACAAATAATGACATAAAAACTATTTTCACCATCATATATGGTGATGCCAGAACTTCAGAAGCCTGAAACATTTTTAAACAGATGCAAACACTGTCTACTTAAAACTGATTAAAGTACATAAATACCGTAACTGAGATATGAACTAGCGAGCAACACTCGCAGGTATAGTACGTGTGTAATGGAAACTTCAGTCAGCAATGACAATACTGGTTTAAAAAAAGGATTTCTATTGGTTGGAATAAACTTGCTGTCAAGTCAATCAAAATAAGGAAGGAAGTTGGCACTGGAAGTGTTTACACCTTCATCTTGGGACAGTGGAAAAAATGAAGGTAAGAGGGAGGAGTAGGTTCTGTCATGGGCCACTGACTTTCAGCTATGCAGTGTTATTTTACTGCACCCTACATGTGACGCTTTTCACACAAATACATTAGAGAGTGGATGTCTTATCTGAGATTAAACCTTTGTCAACACAAGTGGCCTACTACACATTGCCACAGCACTGTAAAAGGGAGCGGTGAGTTGTAATAAAGAGCGTTATCTAAAGATTTAGTACCAAAGAGCTTTTCCTTTTTGGCTGTACATTATCTTAAAAGCAGACAAGCTAAACTGGATTGCAAATTAAGACTTGGGGGGGGGGAAGAAAAAAAGAAAAGGCAACAGAGGCCATCGGATGTAAGACAATTTCATAAATAAATTGGCTATATTAGAGCACAATGAAAGACAGAAAGAAAACATTGTAGTTGAAGCAGTAGCTTTCAGCACAGAGCGAACGTTGTGTAACTGGGAGAACAGGCGTTGTATAACTGTGATGTCATCTGTGCTTCACTGACCTGCTGGCCCAGTGACCTACTTTCCTCCTCCTCCGATCTAACTTAATCACAGCTCCACAAGCAACACCTTCCCCTTCTCACTAATAACACTACACTCTGTCAACACAAATCCTTAGTATTCCACAGCATGCATACTTCACAAAAGGTGTGAAGACGGAGTCAAACTGCCTGCATCTCACGTTTCCTCATTTAATCACATGATTTGAAAAGGCTTCCTGGTGTTTCCTAAGCCTCAGCGGGCACCAACATCAAGGAAGAAAGCAATGAAGATGTGCTGCATTTTTCATCGGGCTTTAACAACGTCAACCCAACAGCCTCACTCACATATGTATTTTTCACACCGAAACATCTCAAAAAGCACTGACTGACGACAGTCATTTATCATAATTTTTATGTGGCTCACACAACATTGTTGAATGCCTGTATGTGGGTGTGTGCATTCAGATGTAGGGCACCAGAGCTCTGAGGATATGAGTCACTCTGAAGTGGATCTATGGCGCCGTTCGTCACGCACTCCGCCACACCCCGGCGCTGAGATGCCAACACAGCAACTGTGCCAATGGGCAACACCATAGCAACCGGCCTCACCGTGCAGTGTAAAAATAGCTCAGCCGAATTCCTCCGCAGCTGATACTCTCTCCATCATACACTAAGAATTATTAGACTACCGCGAGCGACTCCTTTTGTCATGAACTGGAGTCTGTGGATGTGAAACACTCTGCAGGTTCTACCTGTGCAGCAGTGCAGTAACACATGTGTTCTGTAAACATTACTGCACTGTTGTCTTCATGCAGTGAACATGGCTACGCACCAATTCAAACAGTACTTTTTGTCCCCAACCTATAATAAAGCAGATTCTACTTGTGAGGCAGAGCACTTCTACTTCTCAGTTAAGGGGGTCGTGGAAAGCAGAGAAAAAGAGCCAAAGATCCAAAAATGGATAGAAGATAGAATACAGCAAAAGCAGCTTTCACATATAACTCAGTAAGCTCGGAAATTAACAAAAAAAATTAGCAAAACACTAGATTACTACAATTTGTCTGAGCAGAAATACTCAGTTAAATTATTCTAAAGCCCTGTCCACATATAGAGCAATAAACACAATGCTAACCGTAGGTCACAAGTGTGCATTAATGCCTTCA